TTTAGATTTCACATCCTTTCAGGTATAAAGTTTTTACTTTTCCTTCATTTGGTTGATGTTAATTGCTCTTTTCTTTAAAGCACTTTGCTTAGATCTCAGTACTTTCCTTGTCTGATATTATAGTTGCCTATCAATCATTTTTCTCTAGCTAGATTGTAAAGTCCTGAAGGGCAAGTACTATTCCTGTTAATCTTTGAATTCCTTTGGATGTACCTGTTGGGCCTGTAGTATACTGTAGGGTCTTAATAAATTAAGTTTGGAGAATTTTTGCTATTATTCTTTTCACATTGTCTGTTTCCTTAATTAGTCTACATCATTGAGCTTATTTAAAATGGAAAAGTAAAGCACAAGAAATTACCTTTTAAAATATGCAAATGAAACAATAATAATGTGTAGTGTAAAGGCAGTATATAATACATTCTTTATCCACACTTTGTACTGTGCATCACATTGTTGACTTTTTTACCTTCTTTCCCCTTTTTCACCATGACAGTACTTCTAAGGTAGCCTATAATTCCAGTGGATCAAAACCATCAATGTTTGTTGTAATCTAGCTTTAGTGATATGACTTCAGCTGGTTTTGAGCATTTTTAAAAATGAATTCATACCCCTAAAAGATGAAAAGTTGCTACTACTGAGGACATTTAGAAGAATGAGATTTGATCTATGAAAGCATAAAGTAAAGTCAAAGTTTTGGGTTAGACCTCTTGCTTATATTAGTGGCTCCTGAAGTGACTAATTATTGACTTAAGTTTAGATGTATGTTTGCTTTAAGAGAATATATTGTTAGAAAATATGCATAAATATCACCAGATGTGGATATTGGTGTTAGGATTTAACTTTATACTCTTGGCTTTAGTTTGTTCAGTTCTAGATCTTTAATGATACAAACAAAATCAGGTTGTATCATTAAATACAATGTATTTTGTAATTTGGTATAGCTCAAGAATTTTTCTTCTTGAGAAAAAGAAGATTCTACCTAAGATTCTACCTTCTAGTAATTTGGGAATAGCTCAAGAATTTTTCTGACGTTATCTTGTTTGTAAGTGTTGTATTTTTAAGCACTTCAGCTGTCGGTGGTAAGTAATTTGTCTCCAAATAAGGGTGTTTTAGTATAGAATTTTGATTATGTTTAAAATTAGATAGAACAGTAAAATGATTTGGAAAGATTTTAGGTATTAGGAGGAATGCAGATATATGGCAATTACCATTTTTTCTCCTTTGAAGTGGATTCAAATGTAGCTGAACTGTTGAGCATTTGTTTGAAATAGTACCTTTTAAAAACTGTCGTATCCTGTGTTTCATGAAAAAAGCTGCTACCCTTGTACTCCTCATTGCTTGTCCTAAGAGGCCGCTCTCTTCTTCATTTCTTCCGGTTTACTGCCTCAGCTCCAGCCCATTGCCCACAGCTGCTCAGTATCTTGTCACTTAGATCGTTCTACTCTTTGATAAATTTCAAAAGTCTTGATTCAGTTAAAAGTCTCCCTTTAAAATTTTTCAAAGGAGAAATTTTTTAATATATAAGGGAAACAAAATGTAGAAGGCAAAACAAGATAAAAGTTTCAGATGTACCTACCTACCATGTGTCCAGGCATAGTCTTAAGTATTAGTGATAGGTGAACAAGACATGGTCCCTACTCTCAAGAAGCTGATTAAGGGCAGATATGGCATAGACTGTAGAAGGAACACAAAGGGTACCTGACAAGGCACACTGTTTGAGGGGAGAGAATGGGCAGAGAAGGTTTCTAAGACAGGGCCATCATATACAGTAATTTATTATTCTGATTAACACAGTTTTAAGACTGGAAAGGGTTTCAATTAGATATCAGGGCAAAGGATGTAAGGCAGGGGCATCTCAGGGAGCCTGATAAGAGATGACACTGTTTCAAGAAACCCTGTGCTGAGTTTTAAAGAGAAGTAAGAATTTGAAAGGTTGATTGAGGAAGAATCTTTTTAAGCAAGTGTAGCATGTAAAGACAGTGGGGGAGAGTGTAGTAGTATTAGGTAGAAGATGTGAAATTGACATTTTATAAGTGGGAAGTGGTCAAATACTTTCAACAAGTTTCACATAGTTTAACCTGATACATAAGGTAACTTGAGCATTTGTGCCTAGTGTCAGTAGATCAGTCTGGAAAAGAGGGCTGGCTCCGTATCAGAAAGTTGTTGAGTGCCATATTACGGAGTTCAGATTTTGTTCTGGAAATGATTATATATATATGTTTATTTTAAAATTTTAATTATAAAATACTTAATTTTTGAATAAACAGTACATTATCATGGTCTGAAATTTGAAAGAAAATAAAACTATTATATAAATAGGGATAGGCTGTCGTTTCTTTGTTCAGTTTTTGTTAGGTTTTGGTATTGGTGGTTTCCTTGAAGCAGAAATAATTTGGAAGCTTTCTTTTGTCTATGCTCTTGAACAGTAAAAGCATTGGATTATCAGTTCTCTGGGGTTTTTGTGGTATTTTAATTACTTTCTTGCTAAAATACTGGATACCCCCAAGTTAAAGGAAGAGAGGTTTATTTTGGCTCATAGTCTATAGAGGTTTCAGTCCATAGTTAGCTGGCAAGGCAACATGGCAGGGTGGTGTAACAGGATGGGCATGGCAGAAGAGAAACAGTTCATGGTAGGGCAGGGAGGAAGCAGAGAGCTCAAGGAAAGTGGAGGATTATATACCCTTCTAGGCCATACCCATAGTAACCCACCTTTACCCACCAGGCTTCACCTCCCAACATCACAACATGCTGCAGTGAATGTGAGAGTGTGGATATCTCTTTGAGATATTGATTTCATTACCTTTGGATATATATGCAGAAGTGGAATTGGTGTATCATGTGTTAGTTCTATTTTTAATTTGAATTGTTTGTATTGTTTTCTATGCTGGCAGTATTAACTTACATTCCCACCAGCAGTGTGCAAAGGGTTCCTATTTCTTTGTATCCTTACCATCACTTGTTACCTTTTGTCTTTTGACAATACCCTCCCTAACAGGTGAGGTGATAACTCCTTGGAGTTTTGATTTGCATTTACCTGATGATTAGAGATACTGAATATTTTTTTCTTATACCTGTTCGCTTTTGAGAAATGACTGTCAAGTTCTTGTCTTATGTTTTAATTAAGTTTTTTTCTTTGCTATTGTGTTGAATTCTTTATATATTTTGAGTATTAACCTCTATTGGATGAATGGTTGCAAATATTTTCCCTCATTCTATTGGTTTTATTTTTTCATTCTGCTGATTGTTATCTTTGCTAAAAGGCACTTTCTGAGACAGTTTTAGAATTTACAACAGTTTTGAAACAGATAAGCAATCTTGTAGTACAGTTGAAATGACAAATAATAATAAACCTGTAAGCACTTTTGAAAATGAGGTCATCTGTTGGATTAGAGTGAAGTTTGGCTTTCTAACTTTGTTTGGTGACCTTGCACCTTATTTGAAAATGCTCATTCTAGTTGGGCATGTCAGTGCATGCTTGTAATCCCAGCACTTGGGAGGCAGAAGCAGGAAGATTATGATGACTTTGAGGTCAGCCTGCATTAGTGAGTTTAAGGTCAATCTTAGTTACATAGTGAGACCCTGTCTCAAAAACAACAACAAAAAAACCCCAAAACCAAACACACACACACACACACACACACACACACGAAAATGCTTGTTCTACAGATAGATGGAGCTCAGCAAGGTGTTCAGCATAGAGGGTTGAGTAGTATATGACCTTGATAATAGACATGAAGATGTGCCGCTCACATTCCTCTTAAAGGACTTACCCGCTTCTCTGTGAGAATGTAGAATCCAGGCAGCCCCCTGTCTCCGTGCCTTACTATCTGCCTTGGCTACTGAGGATACCCTCACATACCCAAGACCTCCCTGGGGCAGTATAGATTTGTAGACTGAGCAAAGTGGAGAGGTGGGACATTTCAGACTATCACAGAACTTTATGATGGACAGTACTCCTTTTAGAGCTTGCATTTGGTTGGCTGAAATCTTATTAGGTCTGTATCACAGTTGGAGTTCTGTCTAAACTTGCCTTCTGTGCCTTCCATTCACTGGTGTTGATTTCTAATATACCTTTTATACACTAAACACCCTGTCATCTCAACTGCAGAGAAGCAATATGCAGAAGCTCCTGACATCATGGAACTAGTTTACTGGAAGGAAATATATATCAAACAAGAAATTTAAAATGGGATGAATGTTATATAGAAGAATAGAGTGTCATGGTAGTATATTATAAAAAGGATCTACATCCTGTTAAATAGCATTGTGTAGGAAAGTAGCCTAGATTAATAGTCAGCATGAACCGCAGGCTCTGTTAGGACAGTTTTCTTATATGTAATATGGGAATGACGCATTCCTTTAGGAGACTAGCTGGGATTGCCCATGTAACTGGGGAAAGATACCCACCACCAACTGAGAGGACCTGATGTACAATTTTCTAGCTTTGGTTTGTATCAGTTTGCTAATGTGCCATGGACCAAAGAAGTTCACATGGCTGAACTTTGATTCAAGGATAGAGAAATAGACCTACCCCTTCCTGTGAAAGTATTTATAAAATAAGTGTATATGTCTGTGCATTTAGAACACACATGTATAAAACAATGTCTGTTACATAATAATAATAGTTAACATTTACTGATCATTTTCTGTAAATAATACTTAGTACAGGTTGAGTATCTCTAATCTGAAAATCTGAAATTTTAAATGTTCTGAAATCAATCTTTTTGAGCACCCTGGATTTTTGGGATTAGGGATATTCTACCAGTAAAGTATATGCAAATATTTGAATATCTGAAACACTTTTGTTTTTAAACTTTTCAGATCAGGAAAACTCACCCTGTAAAGAGGTAGTTGAACATGATAGTGAACATGTTCTAGCTCAGTAGGGTATTAAAAAAAATCCGTTTGGAGAAATGTGTCATATTTTTTGACATCTTAGAGTAATATTAATGATAACACTTTGCAAATAAAGTAAAGCTCTCTCTTTTTTTCTTCTGCAGTAAGAAAAGTGGAAAACCACCATTACAGAACAATGAGGTAAAATTTTAAATCATGTCTTTTTTGGGGTATCATGCATTTACTTGGTTTTTAGTTTTGAAGTAGAATAAAATAGAGTTAGAAGAGAACTTAATATCACTTCTAATCTGCTGTATATTGTAGAAATTTCTTTCTGAAATATGAGTTCTGACAGGTGTCTTAGTATTTGCTTGAATCTACTTATTGAGTGGAGAGTACTGTTTTAAAGGAATCATAACTGTTTTAGCCCAGGATCAATTAATTTCCCTTATCTAGCTTCCCAGTAATTAACTCTCTGTTAAGTCATCTATAACAACACAAGGCAAGAGTATTCTTTCTTGTCTAATAGACGTACATTTGAGGATAGTTGTCTCTTCTAAATGTTTTGCCTCCTTTGCTAAGCAGCCTTTAATCCTTTGACTATTTCTCATGTGTCTTGGTTTTTTATCTTTTTTCAGTTCTGCATGCATTCCTCTGGACTTACATTAGTTTCTCTAGACGTTGTGCTTAGAATAGAACATAGTTGTCCTGAGATTTAACTAGCATGAAATTTGTTTGCACTGTGACATTCCTTGATATGAATGCTACTGTATTACTAAAATTCAACTTAAATTGTTTTTACTTATTTAGCTATAACTGTTGTTTACATTAAGTAAAGTTTTGATAAACTAATCTTCAGGTGAATAGCTCTGTTGATACCCTATGTTTTGTATTCATCAGTTGATGTGTTTTTTAAGTAGCAGCTTCACTGAAATACCATTTGTGTACTATAATATTCACCACTTAAGTGTATAAATCATTAGTTAATATAATAATCCATTTTGGTGTATACATCAGTAGTTATTAGTATATTAACAATGGATAGCTCTTACCACTGTCTTAATTTTCAAAGATTTTATCAACAGTAAAGTCTGTTACCCAATAGCAATCAGTTCTCATCACCTCTTCCTCCAACCTTTGGGAGCCACCACTCTCTCTGTTGGTTGCCTGTTCTTGATATTTTACATAAATAGAATCATATAATACATGGTCAGCTTGATCTTTCCAAGGTTTATCCGGGTTGTATCAATATTTGCGTTAGCTTTCTGTTGCTGTGACAAAATACCTGTTTTAAAGAAAGAAAGGATTTATTGTGGCTCATGATTTCAAAGGTTCTCATCTATGGTCACTTGGCTCTGTTGCTTCTGGACTTTGATGAGGGAGCATGTCATGTTGGGAGGCAGGTGGTGTAGAAAGCAGTTCACTTTATGCTAGATGGGGAAGGAGAAGAAGAAAGGACCCAGTGTGCTACTTCCTCCAACTGGAACCCACCTCCTAAAGTTTATACCACCTCTCAATAACACTGTCAACTTGTGAATCTTTCAGTGGATAAATCCACTGATGAGGTTAGAGACCTCAGGATCCAAACCTTTCTGAAGACCCACATGTGAGCACTGCTGTATGGGGAACCAACTCTTCAACACATATGCTTTTGGGGGACATTTCAAATATAAACTATAACAGTATTCTATTCTTTTTTTGCTGAATCATATTAGGTTGGATTAGTATCACATTGTATTTATCCGTCTATCAGTTGAGGGACATTTAGGTTGTCTCCAAATTTTTTGGCTGTTATGAATAATGCTGCTATAAGCACTTATATACCAGTTTTTGGGTGGATGTATGGTTTCATTCCTCTTGGGTATTTATCTTGGAGTAGAATTACTACTCCAAGTTGATTTCTTTCAAATGCTAACTTATCCCTGTCAATTTATTAGATTCAACTATACTATTCATGTAATTTTTAAATGCAGTTCTCACATTTCACTAGTGTGTTAAGTACAAAGTGTTGGGCCAGGGGTATATAATCCAGTGGCATGGCACCCGCCTAGCAAGCGTAAGGTCCTGGGTTTGATTCCTCGTTCAAAAAAAAAAAAAAGAAAAACCAGCTTTCAGTCTGTTTAATGTCAGATGTGTTGAGTGTTTCTTGAAATCAAAGTATACACTGTTATCTACAAGTTTAATTTGGCTTCTCTTTCTTCCTCAGAGCCATCTCTTAATTATTGTGGGTTTTTTTTATTGTTTTTATGGTTTAGTCAACTGACAGTGTTCAACTGTAGCAAAATTTAGTTCTTATTTCTCTGTTAAGGCCACTATATAAGAAACGCTAACATTCTTGATTAATTTATTAATTCATTATTGTCAAATTTTCAGCAAATATTTATTGAGCCTATTTTATATGCCTGGTGTTGTTCTTGGCTCAAGACATATGGCATTTATAAAAATTAGTCCATACTCTTACGGAGTTCACATTGTACATCTCAGCTAATGTGCTAATACAATATCTTTAAAAAAGGAGAAAATTGGAATAGTAAACCATGACTTACTTTTAGTAAACTCATGCTGGCTTCTAGTGATTTAGTGTCTCTTAAGTTTTTCCAACCTTCCATATTAGTGTTTAGTCTCTGAATATCCTGGAGATTGACATCAAAATGTTTGTTCTTTAGTTTCCATAATCTCTCACTCCCAGTGTTTGAAAAATGGGACAAGATATGATTAAATCCAGTCTTCTGGCATATTTCCACCACTATGATTTCTCATTTCTAAGTTATATCAGAGTAATCAGACCTTAGTTTTCTTAATTGTGTCTACAGACTGTGTGTCATCATACCTGTAAGTTCTAAGACTGATAGATTCATTCCATTTATGTTACATTCCTTATTTTTCTGTATGATTTTGTTTTAGCATATACTTATCTGCAGGTTGTATAGTATGGGGAAGATAAATTGAAGTTGGATTCAGTGATTGCCAATAAAAAAGATACAAGATGTATATTGATACCACATTTGTAAAATTGGTGAAGTACACTTATGCATGTGCATATACACATATATAGCAAAATGAAATTTGGTAGGATATGTATTAAATAGTAACAGTTTTTACCTCCAGATGGTATGGGGTTTTTGTTTTTTAGATTTTTTCTAATTTTTCAACAGAGAAAGCAATTGAAAAGGATTTTTTTTCATTGAAAAATATTTTATAGTCTTTGAGATGGTGGTAGGGAGAGATAATTTTTATAAGACATGAGATTTAAGAAGTAAAGGTCTTAATTAGAGAGTTAGAAGATAAGCCAGACAGGTAAGCTTAAATACTCCTGCATGGTTTCTCACATATATAATGAGGAGAGGGGAAGAGAGAGAGAGAGAGAGAGAGAGAGAGAGAACATGCAAATGAGAGAGCAAAATACAAGATAAATAGGAAGTAGGGTGAAGTCCAAATAATTTCCCAAATTATCTATTGCATTGTTTCAAAAAATTTTAATATACTGTATATGCTTGTTTCATATATGTTACTAGTTTCTCTTAGTTCCTTGAAGAGAAAGTCTGTTCATTTCTTCTTTGTAAGTTTTTTTTTTTTTTGTCTGTGACTTGTACCTGAAGTAACAGTTTGGCCTTTCTTATAAGAGTATGGTGCGCAGTGTACTAACTACCGTTACTCTCTATTTTGTTATGAAATTGTTTATTTTTTCATAGGAATAAGAAGAGTGCTTTTTATATTTTATTTCTGTTTGTATTACATTATGCTAAATGTGAAAATAACATTTAAAAAGAAAATAATATGGTTTATTTAAAAATACTCATTTAATTTTGATGTGACACACATGCTATAAAACCTAAGATGTATAAATGCTATGCTCAGTTTGGTATTAAGCATTCCTATGTATATTCTTACATTTTTGGATAAGTATTTTTATATTTTTGGATAGTATAAGTAGAAGTATTATACATTTAGAAGTTTTATAAATTCACTTATAAAATGAATTGTATACATCATTATGTTTTCTTCCAGCATAATGCTTTTTAGATCTGTCCGTGTTGATATTGATAGCTAGAGTTCTAGTTAACTTAACTACCATGTAGTATTCTGTTATATGAATATAAGCTTCTTTTTACAATGTAATTTTTATGGAATAAATTTAATATTATTTAATATTGATGCAATTTAGGTTGTTTTAAATTTTACAGTAACATAGAGTGCATTCCTTTTTCTGCTAAGCATAGCATATATGCAGAAATATCTGCTATTTTTAGAGTAAGTTCCTAAAAATAAATTTGCTGTATTATTTTACTGTATAGTCTACATTTTCATAGATAGTTCATGATAGCTGTATGTCTATACTTTTCCTACAGTATACAGGAATTCTTACACTCTTTGTCAGCACCATGTCACTTTTTGTTATTTTAAACATGTCTTTTTCAATTCATGATAGTTTATCTTATTTTTCTAAGTTGATTGATATGTCAATAGAAACTTCTCATTGCTCTTAAACTTTGTTGCCTCTTTTTTCCTGGTTTTATTATTGTGTACTAACTTAAATTCTTAATGTTCTTTGTCTAATTTTTTTGCCTTTTGTATAATTTCCATGTTAAACTAGTGTCACCAAAATATTTTTAAAGTTAAAAAAATATTGGGAAAGTGGACTGGGTGTGTAGCACAGTGGCAGAGTGCTTGCTTGTGTGTACAAGACTGTGGGTTCAATCCAAGGCACTATACAAAGAAGAAAAAGGTCTAAATATTGGCAACGGTAGAGATTGGAAAAGTCAATTTTGAATTTAACATGAATTCTTAAGAAAGGATAGTAGTGTTAGGAAATGTGCTGTCTCTCTAGGTATGCTATTCTTATTTTGATTGGTCTCAGGTATGAATTTTATTATGTATCAAGAATATTGTAGACTTTGCTGTCTCTTCTCAGAATCAGTTTTTCTAAGCCAACCCTTCAGTCCCGGTGTTTCTTTGCAGAAAATGCTAGAATGACTTTTGGAAGAATATAGTTCCCCTTCATGGACTGAATTATAATGAAAATCGAGTTAGCTTTCAGGCAATTTAAAAAGAGGAACTAGTGGCAGCTGAATAGAGTCACAGGAAGAACTGTATACCTAATTAGCTGCTACAACTTTAAAATGCTTTAGTGTTATTCTCATAATTTATTTTTTAACCTTCCCAATTGTTTGTGCTGCATCATTTCTTGAGAGCAGCTAGAACTTGGTAGTTCTCTGTTTAAAGCAGAAGGTGGTCATTTCACCTCAGAAATATGTGACACACAGTTAAAACTAAGGATGGAGAAATGTAGTGAGTTCAGGATCTGTTAATGATATGTGTAAACTACAGTGGTAAGGGGCTGGTGGCAGGAAGGAAAACTTGACAGTAGAAGTTTAATCTTTTTTTTTTTTTTAAGATGCGGGCCGTTTATTGCCTACTCTTTATTCTTTTTTTCCTATATTTTCTGATTGTGTGTTCTTTTTTTTTTTTTTTGTACCAGGAATCAAACTCAAGACCTTGTGCTTGCTGGGCAGGCACCGTGCCACTGAGCTATATCACTGGCCCTGCTATATTTTCTTAGCCTGGGAAAATAAAAGGATATTTTAGGTTGAAGTTACAAAATTTGGCTTGAAGAGAATAGGCTAGTGCAACAGAGTAGACTGGATGGGCCTTTTAGTCTTTTCTGTTACTGGTATATCCTTGTCATTTGGAATAACACTTTGGATGAAGTAAATATTTGTTGAAGGCATGCATGTGTGAATGAAGGAGAGCAGGCCCCATAACTCAGCAGAATGTGATTTGCAACCTTCTCTGAAAGACCTGAAATCCTGAATCTCTGTACCAGCAGTTACAGGGTGGGCTGATTCTTAACTAGGTAGCTCTTTCTGTCTAACGCTGTAAATCGTGCTTCCAAACATCTTTTCTTGGTCTATGTTTCTGAACCATACTCAGTGCCTACTTAGTAGGATTTAATATATAAAGCAGTGACATACAGAAAGTAATTTATTCTAATTCAGGATTAAAATTACTTAGTTCATCATGTTAGATATTAATTTAGTTAAAGCATATTTATACTGAAGTTTTAAGTTTCTCAATATTTGTTAAGAGCATAGTCATTAATCAGGTAAGTGTGTCTGGTTTCTGGAGTCAAGAAAAGGCTAAGCAGGCAACAGAGTTCTGAAGCTTCTTGCCTTTTCCGAGAAGCACTTAAGTAGCCTCTCCAGCAGGTTGTTGATGTCACTTTTTCCTTATGTTTACGAATAGTTTTGTACTTACATTTTCAAAGACCTAATGAACATAAAGAAATCTCTGAAAGGAGATAAGGTTATCCTAAATCCATTTAGAGTGGGAATAAATCCTTAATCCTTTCTGTGGCATCAAGGCTCTGTGTTGTTTTTTTTTACCTTCTCTCATTGTTCTTTTGCGGTAGCCCTTTGCTGTGACATATGCACATTAGTTTTATTCTCAGCATTGGGGTTTTGTGCCTGGTGTTCCTTATTCTTCACTCCCTCAATTCCCTCTCCTCCCAGATAATATTGTGACTTCACTTTATTTATGCCTTATTTTACAAAGTCTTCTCTTAATCAGGAAGTGAGTAGTGAAAGACAACATTAATAAGTACTGACTGTTCCTTAGCTGTCTTTTTTATTTCGTCTACTACTATGCCTTTCTTATAACTCCATCCACTCTGGCCATTTTTTTGCCCCTGAAGCATCTTACACATGTGCTCACCTTGTTATTTTAGACATGCTATTTCTTCTGCTTGTGGGTTTTTCTCCCAGATGCTTATGTGGTTCCAGAACTTCTCACTTCCTTATTTAGTTGCTAGCATCTTATTTTCTTGGAAGTGTGTTTGAATATGAAGGGCAGTGAAAGTCTGTTCTTTAAATGCAGTACTCATCTTAGTAGCTGTCTGTATCAACCTAGATGAAACATAGTTCTTAATCTTGTCATAACAATCTTAAAAAGACTTTTTTTTTAACTATAGAAAGAAGGAAAAAAAGAGCGAGCTGTGGTGGACAAGGTGTTTTTATCAAGGCTTATGCGGATTCTCAAAATCTTGATCCCCAGAACATTTTGTAAAGAGGTAAGTCTTACGAGATTATAATTTTAAGTGTTCAACTTTCAAGATTCATGAGATCAGAAAAACAAATCTTAACACTTTGGTTATACTAAAAGGTCAAATGTTTCCTGTATATTTGTCTCTAACTTATTACCTGTCATGAAAGCACTTTTGTTCAGTACCAGTTCTTACGTAGTTTTCTCCTATTAAGAAGATAGTATTTCATTCTGTTTTATGTGAAATACTAGATTGTTACAATGCACCGTCCTTAAATGTTACTTTATTATAAATACTGTCAGTTGGGGCTGGGGATTTAGCTCAGTGGCAAAGTGCCTGCCTGGCAAGTGCAAGGTCGTGAGTTCGGTTCCTGATACCAGAGAAAAACCAAAAAAAAAAAAAAAAAAAAAAAATACTGTCAGTTAAAAAAGACAAACATTTTTATTACATTGAAATGTTACTAAGCCACACTGGGCCAAGTGTAGTGGTGCATGTCTGTAAACCCAGCACTTGGGAGGCTGAGAAAGGGTCATTGTGAGTTTGAGGCCAGCCTGGACTATATAACAAGAACTTGTCACAAAAAAGCAAACAACAACAACAACAAAAATTACACATTGTTATGGATATGTTTGAGGGTTGCTTCTTTATATTTGATTAAACATATTTTTAAGATTCCCAAAATGGTATCCTATTTCTAAATATTTTCAGAAAGTAAGCAGGTTGTAGAAATTAAATTTATTATTATTTACCCTTTCATGGAGATTATTTTTAACATTGTTTGATAAATATTTTTAATGATTACTAAAATGATGCTGTGTCCTCTGTCTTTACTCACTTCAGCATTCAGTAATGTTGGCTTTGACTCTTCCTGCTCTCCTGCCTCATCCTTTTCACTGGGATTTGGTATTTTTCCTCCTGTTCGTACATGGATATTACGGTGTTCTTTCATTACTCTTACTTCTGGGATCTCTTTTTTAAAATGCTTTCCTAAAACATAATGTTCTCTATTCAAATTTTAAAAAGACCTTACAGTCTACTAATATCAATTCTAGAATAAAATGTTCCAGGAGCACTGAATTTCTTAATATGAAACAACCCACATTTCTCCATCACATAGGACTTGGTCCGCTTGTCTTCACTTCAGCATCATGTTGAGAAACACTAAACAAAAATGTAATAACATTTGTTTTTGCCTACTTAGAGGTAATAGTTGCTCCTTAAATTAAAAATTGGAAAATGCTGATTAGATGCTGATTTTCTTTTTGGTACCTATCAACTTCCCATTGACTTTAGTGTACAGTCTTCTGATGTGTGGATATATATCTTGATAAAAGGAGATCACACTCACACTTTTAAAATATGCTCCTTTCGTTAATTTTTAAAATTTTCTTTCTAGTACCCTTCAGTTTCTCACAAATTAGTCTCTCCATTTATGTGCTACTATTCTCACTACAGTTTACCTGGATTATTACGTCTTACTTAATCCTTTTGTTTCTCTCCTTGTCCAATTATTCTTTTTGCTAAAATCTTAATAAAAACAATTGGCTTCTTTTTTCTTATATGGTGGGTCATAACCTGACTTTGACTTGTTTTTCAATATTACGTACTTCGAAGATTCTTTAATGATCAGTCCCTATGCTCATTTGCAAAATTTTATCTGTGGCATCCTGCCTCTATACCAGCCAGAAATGGCATAACTCATATTATCTTCTTTGTGAAGGTTTCCTATCCCTTTTCAGGGGTAATGTTTTTTTCTACAACCTATCTGGTTGTAGAAAATGGAAGCTTCTCTGGAAGGATAATGTATTACCTGCTTAATTGGTTAGCAACTCAAAGCTCATTTTAACTGTTGCAGGGGTTCACTGCATGTAAAATGAATGTGAGGCATTGAAAGGTCCCCAAGAGCTAGAAAGAGAGGTAGTGGAGGCTAACTTGACCAGCCTTCCAGTTTTGTCTACATTTAGCCAGGCCATAGTCATTTATGCACCATCTTTGAGGGATCTAAAAATATGAGTTTAACCCCAGCTCAAGAAAGCAAAATAAACTTTCTTAGAAATCACAGAAGATAGGAGATGGAGTTAGAGAAGTGAAAATATAGCATATAAATGTATGAAAGTTCATACCCACCAGAGGTGAAGCATGAGTTGCCTACATCAGTGTACCTCGTTAGTTTCTGATGCATGGGACAACTTAATAATGGGAAGAGTGTTGCTTCTAAAATACCCTTGGTATAAAGGCATTTCAGAACTGTCAGTTCTTAGTTCGCCAGATTTTGCTCTAACAAGATGAGCCAAGAATATAAAATGAAGGGGAAAATCAATTTTCTTTACTGTCATACCTCAGTGATTAATTTAGTATTGAGACTGTATTTAAGGTCTGAATTAAAAGTTCAGTTACCGTTAAACTAATATGGACAATTAGCATTCATTAAAGTCAACAGGTTCTTCTGTTTCCCAGGTGAGTCCCCAACTTGGGGATGATGGGATAGTGTAGGAAGATGGTGTTTTTCTTGATAACTAACTGGCAAACATTGTCGCAGCATATGTCTTCTTATGGCTCCATGTAATACTGCTATTCTTATGGCTTTGTCTTGTTTTTTTTTACTGAAAGAGCTATCTTTCCAGGATCTTCATCATTTAAAAAACTATTTTTGTATATTATATTTGTGTAAAACAAATTGCACAAGTACTAGATGCTGGTATCTCTCACTTCAATAACTTTGAATGTAGTATACAACAAATGTACCCTATCCCTCCAATCAGTCCCTTTCCCCTGACTTTAGCCTTTATGCTACTCTCATATTCTTCCAATTTAGAAAATGTAAGATCAGTTTTGAATGTGTATATTGGGAGGGGGAGAAGAGAGTGGCAGGTTTTTATCTCACATGGAGATAACTGACTCCTAGCTAGTCACCCAGTTGCTCATCTCTCCCTCTTTGTAATCTGCATTCCATAGCATTGCTTAAGTAACATTCTCAAAACAGCACTTTTAACATTTTCTTTTACCTAGTAGAAGTTTACAGTAATTTTATATTTTCTGAACTCCACTGGATGTATATCATAAGGGATTAGTCTTTTTTTTTCCCATTAAGTCTTTCAGTTTTCTTAACCCATAATCTTCATTCTTTATTTTTTTTGGTCTATGCGACGTATTTCTAATGCCTTAGCTGTCTTTGTTACTCCAGATCTTCTCATCCCATCACTTACATGAAGATATACAATTACACATAGTTGACCTGAAGATTGTTTTCTTGTTATTTTTTATGAGTAAGTCTTACTTTAATAGCTCAGTTGGAAGCTCTTATGAAGGACAGGTTCACTACTAGAAATTTTCAAACAAACGGAACTAAATTTGTCCTACTTGGGGAATAAAAGATACACTTTAATATTTGTTAGTTGTTTATATAGCAACCATTATTTTTCCCTGTTAAAATTGTATGTTTAAAAAAACAGAAAATTTCAAGATAATATTAGTTATAGTTCTAGCTTTTTTCATTGTCTGTTTCTATGAAGGCAAATCATTTAATCTTTCTAAGATTCACTTTTGAATTATAGATGAGAAAGATAATGATCTATAAGGCCTTTTTCATTTATAATTTTAAATTTTTATTAAACTATACTTTAAAATTGCTTATAGGTGAGATGTAGGCTAGTTTTGAAATTTAAAATCAAACATCTTTATCAAGTAATATCTCTTTAACTTTCTAAACTGCATTTAACTTACTACATTTGCTTTATTTTAGACAGGATACTTGATACTTATTGCTGTTATGCTGGTATCTCGAACATATTGTGATGTTTGGATGATTCAAAATGGGACACTCATTGAAAGGTTTGATCCATTCACTTCCTCCTGTGTGTATAAAATGCAAATTTATTTCATAGAGTGTTGTCCTTATAAGCAAAAAGTAGATTCTGAATTAGGTAAAGGACACTTAAGTGATGTGTTTGTTCATTTAGTTAAGAAAATATTTATTGCTAGTTTCCCATGTCTCTATCAGGCACCATGCTACTTGATAATGGGATGTGTGTGTGTACAGCAGTGAACAGGAGAAATTTTGTACCAAGCCTTACTGAGCTGAGAGTTTATGAACAATTGGAGATATGTAACCAAAAATTAAAATGCAGTGTAACCAATGGTATAATTGGGATTTAAGAGTAACCAAGTTGGAGATCTGAAATTAGTAAGATAATTTGGAGGAAAATATCAAAACATTTCTGTGAATTACACTGAACACATTTACTAGAAAAAATTTTTAGACCAACCTTTGTGCTTCTGAAGTTGTGCTTTTTATATTTTCTCGTTACAGTTTTTCTATATGTTATTAATCACTGCATTTGATAATTTTCAATTTAAAGCTCTACAAATGTCAAGTGGAATACCATAGGTTATTGTAACCATTCACTTTTTATCTGTTAATAAAGAAGTTATTATTGGCCAATTTGCATGTCAGAGTAAAAATTTTTTCCTGTGGACTGGGGGTTAGCCTAGAGTCAGGACATTTGCCTAGCATTCCATGAAGACATTCATGTCCATTCATGTGATTTGTAAAAATTTTTTCCTTTTGTGATTTTAAATGCCTTGTCTTTTGATAACAATAAAATCTCCTTGATTATAATACTTGTAAAAATACACAAGTTGTGTCCATTGTAAACAATATCATAGTACATATCAATATAAAATCAGTCATATGTTAATTACAAGGAATCCCATATAGTAACAGTATACAAATTAATTTTTAAAAATTTCCCCCTTCTATTCAGGTGTTATGATTTCATACTTTTATAATCCAAAAGTATAATAATAATTTCTGTAAGCCAAGGATTTTCACCTTTGATTGTATAGATCATAGTTACAGTTTTCTCAAATACTTCGTAACCTGCAAAGAAAAGACATTGCCGAGAAAAGGTGGTGCATTAACTTAATCGGTGATGATGAGCAAGTAGACAGTTACGTAGAATTAGTCAGTTGGTAATTCTACTAGATAGTCAATGTAGTATGATACTTAATTTTAAAATTTTATAGTTAAATTTAATTAATTATGAATTTAATTATAAAATTTTAGTATTTTTCATGTTTTGACAAATTGTTTAAAGTTCTTTGAACATTATTTTGAATTTCTTCAAACTTATAAAAATGTTGCAAGAATAGTACAAGGAACTTCCTTATGCTCCTAACCATATTCACCACTTTTTGTAAAGTAGTTATTTTAAGGTTGTGAGCATTCTCCTAAGTAAATATTTTTGAGCCTGTGCTATATATGAGATCTTTGATATTTGTTATTAGATACTAGTATTTAATATTTGGCCAAACTGAAAGTTGTAAGATACTATGTATCTATGATGTGGCACAATTTTATTTCAAAAATTAACATTTCTTTATCTATGAAAGCTACATTGTAATTGAATTTATCTGTCTTTACCTTTTTGCATCTTTCAAAATAGGCCTAGATTCATGTATTTCTGTTAAAAGGAGTCTCTCAGAGACTTGTTGTGGTCTTTAATGTATTTCATTTTAGGCTTATTTGTTAGTAATGGCCAATGACTTTGTAATGTAGACTGATCTTAGTAGGACAGACATCATTTTAAAAACAGAAATTACAGTAATTATAGTAATTCCATGATATGGAAAATCTTTCATAACTTATTACAGCTTTTTTTTTGTTTTGTTTTTCTCCGGTACCGGGAACCGAACTCACGACCTTGCGCTTGCCAGGCAGGCGCTTTTGCCGCTGAGCTAAATCCCCAGCCCTTATTACAGCTTTATCTGATCATAAAGATATAGTTTATTTTTACTCAGTAATAAGCAACATTTTTAAATTACCAATTCTTTTATAAAGGTCATTATATATTTTGGAATAGTGATTAGAACTTTAATAAAAATATTCTATTATTTTTCTTTTGCAGTGGAATAATAAGCAGAAAAAAGGCTTTATTCAAGAAACCATTTTTAAACTTTATAGCTGCCACTCCAATGGTAAACCATTACTGAATGATGATGGCATGTGCTTTACAAAAATTTTGTAATCGTGTGTTTCACAGTTTGGGCAGCACTGAAACACTTTAGTTTTACAATGTTTGCTTCAAACAGTTATAACTCAGATTTCTAAATTTCTAACTCTTTGTTAATTTTTCTTAATTGCCTAATGTTTCTTATATTCTTATTGCTACAAAGAATATTTTTTATGCTTTCCTTTGAATTTTCTACAAAAGTTCAGAGTTTGTATTTCTTCAAACAATATTTTTGTATGCTTTTCTTTGAACTTTCTGCTAGTGAGTTTTTAAAGCTTTTGCTTTTTAAGGGTTATTTTAAAATTGGACAATTAATTTTTCCATTAGTCTAATGTAATATTTCCAAAAGTATTGTCCAAGGAAATGCTACATGTTATAAGACCCTTTCAGGTTTAAAATGACCATATTATATATTAAAATTTTTGAGAGGGTATTTGATAAAGATGTTATTTTTGTTTAACCCATATTTCCTCAAGTTTATTTACCTCATTAAAGGAAGATTATTTGTCATATACCAGATACTTTTGTGGTTTTTTTGTTTGGTGGGAAGTTAAGTTTAAATCATTTAGTTCACTATTTCTCAAAAAACATTTTATGATATTTGGGAATATTAGTAAGAATTATTGAAAAAAAGTTCTGTAATCAAATTATACCTCTTTAGTAAATCATAGAAATATCCTACTCAGAGGTTTGTTGCTTATATAATAATGCTTTCAAACTTTTAACAAAGTAGTAGAACTCTTACTCTAAATTCTGTTTATAGTTTGAAAATAAATAAATATATAAAATAGATTGAAAACAGATGAAAGGGGAGTCAATTCAGTTGAACTGTGTCAACTGAAGTTACATAGTAGCCTCTATGGAACCATTCTGAGTCTTCTCTGATCTATGATTTAGCCCCATAGCTGGTAAACTAGGACCCCACACTGTGGGGAGCATCTGTTGAGGTAAAATTTCTTTAGAACACAACCAGGTTCATTGTTGGCAGAAATGAGTAGTTCGAACAGGGACGTTATGGCCCACAAAGACTAGAATACTCTTAACCCTTTAAAGTAAAAGTACGCTGATCCTTCTATATGGTTTCTTCTACCAATAGTTATGTAAGTGAGAATCAAGAGTTTAAAAACAGACAATGCTACTTTAATATGTCAGATACTAAACTTCCTAGAGCTATAAAGTTATTGTTTAATTGTTTAAACTTCTGTGGCAGTTTAAGGAGCCCCCTCCATCCCCCCCGCCCACTTCAGCATTTTTACCCAGGGCAGTCATCATTCTTTTTTGCCATGCTGGGAGCGGGGATGAACACAGCGCTCCCACCTTGGTAAAGAACTGTTTCTGACACTGAGCCACATGCCCAGCTCCTAGTTATCCTTAGTTTTGTCATTTGCAGAGTAAGGTTCAAGCAAGCTGTTTTAAAATGATAACATTTCAAAAATTTCAGACATGATTTGTAAAAATATGTTTCATACAATTTTTTTTTCCTTTTTCTTGATTCATTGGAAATTTGTGGGAATAATTTTTAAAGCTTTAGAAATGTCTTTTTAGCCTCTTGCTTTGCTTCTTTTGCAATTAACACATTGCATGTGGCGGTTTGCAGTGGCATCATTGGTCGTAGCAGAAAAGATTTCAGGAAATACTTACTCAACTTCATCGCTGCCATGCCTCTCGTAAGTTTAATTCTTTAAAAATTTTACTTCATCTTGTTATAATCTTTAAAGATATTTACTTATTAAATTCTTAAAAGATTTTTGATACAGTAGTAGGTTTCAGTTTTGAGTTTAGTTTTATGATTGATACCTTACTTTTTAAATATAAACCTTTACTATAAAAAGATAAATTATATTTGACTTAGTACCATTTATTGTTATACATATGTGGGTTATTCATTTGTTTAACGTTCTTGTGACAACCAAGAATGTTTCCCGATACTGCCAGATTGGAGGTTACGCAGGGAGTGTAAATCATCCTAGTTGAGAGTTACTGCTTTAGGCCATTATCTGTTACAAGTTGAACCCCTAAATGTACTTGAGGATAAATTGAAATTTAACGTCTTAACTTATTAAAAATAAATTTCTCAGTATGAAGCAATGATTTTCTTAGCTTGGTTCACATTTTTATTTTACTGGTCTTGTAAAAATTTTAGTACTCTAAATTTGGGGATAGAAAGGAGAAGCAAAATCCAGTTAAATTGAAAATACGTAAGAAATTCTAGTTTGATAAAACTGGAGGATGGGCATACATAGATTTTAGATGTTCTAAATAATAAACTGAGATAAGCAGTGTGGGTGCAGTATGTCCCCGACTGAAGAATGAGTTCCCTTCTGGGAGAATGTGTGTAAGTCAGATTTGTAAGTATAACAAAGTGAGTCTTACACACCTTTGACACATATACAGTGTAAAGCGTAAAAAGACCAAACGCACACACAAATACTGTAAACAAACTATTTTACTTCTACAGTTACCTTAAAATGGTAAGGTAGACAGGTGAGCTACTTCTGCGGTTGGTTCACATCTGGGAATGTTTGTCACGTGAGGTCCATTCCTATCTGTAAATGTTCACAATTCAAATGTTCCTAGGTCGGGACTTACCGTAACAAAGATTGAGATTCAGTAGAAGACCAGTATTCTGCAAATACTACTTGATAAAATTTTTAGTAAGTTTGAGTTTGGACTATAAATGTGTGAGTTCAGAACTGTGGAAGAATTAATTTTAGTATGATAGAAAAGATTCATAAAGATTATTAAAGAATAGTCAAGATTCTAAAAATCTTGAAAATAGTATTAGTTGATATAAAACTCACTGTATATTAGTTTGTTCTCTTTACGTTATAAATTCTGAGTAAAGCAGAACAGAATTCTATCAGTGTACACCATCATTCATAAAAATTATAGGATTTGGGGATGCAGCAAATGGTAGAGAAGTAAATTATAATTTACTAAGTAGAAGTAAAGCAAAACTGATAAATGTTTGTTTGTTTGTTTTAGATCTCTCTTGTTAATAACTTCTTGAAGTATGGGTTAAATGAGCTCAAACTGTGCTTCCGAGTGAGGCTCACTAGATACCTCTATGAGGAATATCTCCAGTAAGTGGTAATCTATTTTGAAGTTAAAAATAGTTAAATTGAACAATACTATTTGTGACATTCAGGATAGATGTCTTTCTTACTTATTATATAGACGTGTTTTTCAAGAACATGGCTCTCAGACCCAGAAACATGTTGGGAAAGACCTCTCAGTAATTTGGAATCTCCTCTTGGCTCTTCCATTAGTTGTCAAGACATCCTTCTATGGACTGGTTTCTTCACTCTAAAATAAGTTAGGACAATCCTTAGTTTTCCAGACTTTTCTAGTCTATGTATTTGCACTCGGTGGTATAATGTGAGTATTTTTGTTTTGTCTCTAAAACCATTTGTTTTAAAATCATTTTCTTATTACCATTTTAGGGCTTTCACATACTATAAAATGGGAAATCTGGACAACAGAATAGCAAATCCAGATCAACTACTTACACAAGATGTAGAAAAGTTTTGTAATAGTGTAGTTGATCTATATTCAAATCTTAGTAAGGTAAGTTTTTGTTTTTTAAAAATTGTTGGCTACATTTTTTGAATTTTGAATCTAAGCAAATTTAAATAGAATGGATTTGATAGAATAGTATATATATATGTATTGCTTTCATAGGAAAATTAGTGTGATTATGATAATTTTAATTATATAAAAATTTAATTTTTTGTATTTTTCTAAGGGAGTTTGGCTCAGAAATGATGATGGATTTTGTAAAAATTTTGAAGGCTGATTTTAGTAAAACAACAGACATTGAATTCTCATCTTTTGACCTGTGTACTTCTAACAATTGTTAGAAATTGACTGTCAGTTTATGTTTCCAATTTCATATCCATAAATGTAGACAAGGGGCTTCCTACCCTTTTCTCTGCATCAATATCTCTAATTCTAGCAGATCATTTAAATTGTCAAAAAAATTTTACAAGATGTAGGTTTTAGTTTTCTAATTACTGTCTTTCCTCTTCTCAGAAATTGTCAGACCTCTTGATTCTGATAGGCTTTAAACCAGGTTTCTATCTTCCTGATAATATCTTCAGTTCTTTCTTGTCTCACTCATCTCACCACCCTTACACTTGCTGTTATCTTCTCGTTAAACTGTCTTCATTGTCATTGTCTCCTGCATCAACTAACACATGTAGGGGGCACCTATATTGTCTCCCCGCAGTCTTCCCATCATCATAATGTTCCACTTTCCCCTCTAATCCACATGACTGCCATTGATATGCAGTGTAGGACCTTGTCTCAAGCTGGACTGATACAGCATTTTTGCATGTGATTGCAATTGACCCAAATACCCAGTTTTTAGACAAAAGCTGTATATAAGGAACTGGGTCATATTGTAACACTAGGAATGTTTCAAACAGATAGAAGGAGAGGAGATTCTTGGAAAAGTGTGTATCTATAGGTGGTCCCTCCTTGCCTACAGGCCACTACTAAGATACTCTTTAGTTCCTACTTAGTTCTCCAGAAGCCTTAACTAACTAATCCCAAACTCTAGAAATCGTGGCAGCTACAAATCGCTCCATAATTCACCTTTCTTTCTTGTTCCCATTACCATGTTTCAAGTTTATTCTCTGTGTTGAGGAAAGTAGGGGTAGTGGATATATAAAACTATTCATGTAATTTTGTGGCCAATTTCATACACAAATTATTATATGTTCTTTATATGTTGGCACTTGAGCAAATCTATTGCTGAGGTCTTGTCACATCTACAATAGAGTGTTATCAAATTAATTATAATATCACTGTACTACAGTGTTTGCTGTTTGAAACATCTAATTTATCTCTGACTTAAATTGTGAGATATTTTTGTCAGTAACTGTGTGTGGCGGGGGGATGCGGTTTGTATGTGTGTATGGGTGAAATGGGGATTGAACCGAGGGCCTTGTGGGTTCTAGGCAGATACTCTACTACTGAGCTACATCATCAGCCCTTTTTAAAATTTTATTTTGAGACAAGGTTTTGCTTAGACTGGCCTGGTAATTGTAATCCTGATGCGTTTGCCTCTTGAGTAGCTGAAATAACAGGCTGCCAGGCCTGCCTTGTCAGTAACTTTTGATGTACTTGAATTTTACAAGTATTTCTAGCTTGTTAAGATATAAGAAAAAGAAATGAAAGAAAAAGTAGACTTCAGCATTAGCCAATTCAACAACCAAGTCATCTATCCTGTAATAGTGTGGATGTTAGTCGAAACAGGTAGCTGTAGACTTATAATGAATGAACACAGTTTGGAGTCCCTGTAATGTGTTTACATTACAGAGTTTGCTTATTGTACATCAGTTGAATTGCCTCTAAGTGAGGAGCTGTATCCTAATGTATTTTAGTTCTCAAAGCTTTTTATATCACCAAATTAGTTTAATGATTATTTCATTGTATAATTGTTCTAATAAAGTAATTGACTCAAATAATATAATAGCAGAAAGAGCTATTTTATAGGTGAAGATGTATAGAAACCAGAAAAATGAATAACAGATTTGGGGTTATAGTGGGTAATTTTGCTCAGTGTCTTTATATTATATTACATATTACTAATTTAAATGTGATAATTATCACAGTAGAGCTATCTTAATTGATGAAAAATAATAAGCATTTCTCCCACCTAAGTTGCATTAGATATTGTTCAGACTGTCACCATTTTAAGTTTCTTGAGATAAGAACTGTATTTTTTGTGCATTCATTGATCTTTGTGTAGTACATTATGCCATATGGGAACTGTACAGGTTCATAATTATGTATTAAATTTTGAATAACATTTTATATTTAACATATATGAGTTAGTCTAGCCTAGGCAATCTAGTTTAGAAGGTCTAATTCTGTGTACTCTAATATTTATTTTACAGCCATTTTTAGACATAGTTTTGTATATTTTCAAGTTAACAAGTGCAATTGGAGCTCAGGTGAGTCCACTTTTATTGTATCATTTAAATTGCTATATTACTGTGTTGTAAATAGCTTGCTGATCTAAGAATTTTTTGTATCTCAGAGTATCATTGTGTTTTCACATTATATACTGAAGATTTAAAAAAAATTCTTATTTTCTTTTCTAGTTCTCTTTAGGTACTTGAAACATTTATTTTATTTTATTTTATTTTTTGGTTTTTTTCCGGTACCGGGAACTGAACCCACGACCTTGCGCTTGCCAGGCAGGCGCTTTGCCGCTGAGCTAAATCCCCAGCCCCTGAAACATTTATTTTATGGCATTTGTCAGAAGTACTTAAATATTGAACATAATAGCACTTGTTTTTGCAGACTAATGTCTAAAAAGATTTGGAGACAGCCATTTTAATATAAAATTTGAATGTTAAAATATCAACAATATATTTAAAGTTTCAAGAATATTTTACAATAATATTAAATTATTGGCTAGCCCACAAGTCTTATCCTCCTGTCTAATATTTGTGATAGCAAGAATCACCTTTAAATATTTTCTGAGTATTCTCATTAAAGTCTAACTGTAGTCATGTAATAGGTAATGTTATATATTTATAACAGCATATAATAGTGGAGTTATTATATATATATATGTATGTATATACATGTGTACATATATGCATATATATATACATTTTGTAGTTGATTAATAAACTATAAAAAGTTATGTGGTGGTGTTTGTTGCTTTCCAAAGCACTGGGTTAAAACAATTCATTTAAATTCTCTTGTCTATCTTTCGATCCTTTTGCTATTCCATGAGCCAAGTTTAGTCATTTTCATAGTTTCTTTTACTATATACATGAGTAAATATCCCTCTTGTTTCTGTGCTCTGATATATGTTACATTTTTATATTTAAATTGTCTCCATGTACCGTATATTATCTGATTCTGCATTTCTTAAAAATGGTTTTGTTATTTCTTTGTAGATGTGTAGCCTGTATTTGTAGTAGTTGTTGAATCCATTGAATTGGGTTTAATTTTTAAAAATCTTGCATACATACTGTATTTCACATACATCATTTTAGATAATAGAAATGAAAAGGTAAATTTCTGAGGAAGAGAAAGTCCACTATGCTGAAAGAGTTAGTTATTCAAACAGTGATAATATAGTATGATAAAGCTGATGATGGATGTTTCAGTGAAGTAGTTAGTGCCTGGAGGAATTGGAGCTGATATCTGAGCATTGAAAGGAGCTAAGTAGGTGTCTGTTATACATGCCGCAAGCTTGCCATACATAAGAACAACCTCACTGATGCCCTTCTCAGAAGACAACTCTTTCAGTATGGCAGAGCGCAGGATGTCTATAAGAATGAAGGGAAGGCCTGCCTTCAAAAGGTAGACTTGAAGCTTCTTAGGATTGTCAGTGGGCATGAGGTCATTTTACAAAGTTAGTTGCTGGAAGCAAAATGTGCAAGCAAGGAAAGGCAGATAGAGGTTGTCTAAGGGAGTGGAACTTGAGGTGTATGGTACTTATTTAGTGATACTGTCTTGGGTTTGCAAGAGTGATGGAACTAGAGGCGTGAATTTGGATTGAAATGAGGGATAAGGAAGGAACCTGCGGAAATACTGACATTCAAAGAAAAAGCAAAGAAGACGTGAGAATTACTGTGAAATTATGAGAGCATATCTAAAAGAATTGTAATAGAAGAGTATTATATGCCACAGAAAATGTAAGAATCATAAGTAGGACTTTTTATGTGAACAAATGAGGGAGAGTTGGGGAGGAGTTGTAGTGGTTGAAAGAGTAGGTGAGGAATAGCAGTGTAAAGGTGAGTTTGTACTTTTTCAGGAAAGAAACAGAAAAAAATGAACCAAAGCAGCAGTTTCTCTCAAAAGTCATTGAAGTTAATTATAGAAATTGTATGTGTTTGCGTCCATTGAACTTTATTATATCCTTCAATTTTGTGTTTCTTTCTCTGTCAATGATAATAGGGCCCAGCGAGTATGTTGGCCTACTTGCTTGTCTCTGGGCTATTCCTGACTCGACTCAGGAGGCCTATTGGTAGGATGACAATAACTGAGCAAAAGTACGAAGGTGAATATCGGTATGTTAATTCCCGGCTCATCACAAACAGGTAAGGAGGAGAGTATGAATGCTATACTGAAAATTCATTTTTACTGATTGTGATGTCATTTAAATTGACTTAAAAATGCTAGTAATGTTGTTACTGAAATACTGCATGTGTTTACTTGTTTTGAAAATATATATTACAAAGGATGTTAGTGGTGACCCAGTGTGTGGGAGGATCTTTGAGTCACTCTCCACCTCTCTTCAGGTCCTTGCCCTCACTCCAGTGAAGAATAAAGAACTAGGGCTCTTAGCAGAAAATGGGGGAGTCAAAAAGCAAAACTTTATTTAAAATGTGTCAAATGCAGGGGAAGCAGAAGAAAAGCTATCTTGGTAGCAGATTGGTGCAGCAAGATGAGGGGCATCCCGGTTGGCATGCCCCAGGGAGTTTGGGGTGTACATCATACTGAGATGGTTAAGCTGGTTTCTAATAATAACTGTTTCACTGGTTGGTGTAGTCTAGGCCAGTCAGGGTCTTAGCCTTTGTTTCTGGGAAGGGGACTGTAAGGCTCCAATCGGACCTCACTCCCAGTCCCCACCCTACTTGACAGCAGAAGCACTACTTTCAGCAGAGAACTCAACTCAGTACTGAAGCTGTCATGGGCAAGCACGGGCTGTCATAAAGAAGATAAGATAGTATAGAAATTTTACAGGTCCTAGGGACATCTGGAGACACCTGAAACTTTACACCAGACCTTCAAGGACTTTGGCCACTGAGGTGCAATCAAGCCAGAGAACTTTGACCACAGATGTTTATTAAGATCTTCCCACTTAATGTCCCCTGCCTTCTCTCCGTCCCTATAAAAGGGACACACTTCTCTTTGTTCCCTGCAGAAGGTCTTTTTGCTTTCTGTCTGCCTGCACCCAGGCACAATAAATTCCACGCCATGTTGCCTTTACACAGTCTGGTGATCTCTGCTGGTCTCTCACCCCATGTGTTACAGGGACAAGATCAGCATATAGTAAAAGTGAGTAACACTTTCATAAAAGATACAGTAGGGTACATTTTCCTCAAGCACATGGTACATAATAAGCATGTGATGTTCTTACATTCATGAGCCACAGATAAGCTTTCTACCTATTTTCCAGATAACTTTAAATTCTAAAATAGGAAGAAAAAAATGTAGGCTTTGGAGGTAGCCATAATAGTTGCAAAATCACCTTTTCTACTTATCGATTATATATTATATGATTTTAGCAAGTTATTCCTAGCCTCACTTTTCTTGTTTATGATAGATAGATATTACAGAGTCATTATGAGGAAGCTTCTGACTCTTTGATGTGGAGCAAATACTCAATGAATTTTCTCATCTGCCAACCTTAGTTTTGAGAGCCTTAATATTTTACTCAGTACTCTGTAGGCTACCTTATATGAATTAACAGAATTACTTAGGAAGTTACTCTCTTAACAGTCTCCTTTTTTCTTATTTTCTTGGACTGTTAAAATGGTACCAGTTTTATGTGGGGTTTTTCACTCTGAAGAAAGCTAAGGAAAAGAGTTTACAGAGTTTACAGGTGGTTTGCTAGGATGCTCTTTACTACAAGAAACAAAACATGGCTCATAACTCCCCACCAGTCAGGACATTTATTGAGTCACATAATAATTCCCAACACAGAACAGTTTCAGGCCCAGCAGGATCAAACTCTGGCTTTTGTTAGATGTTCCTCTTGGCTCGACCCTCCTTTGTGTGCTACTCTTTTCCTCAGTTAATTCTTAGAATCACAAGATAACAAAAGCAGTTCCAGGTTTCACTAGCCCCTCTCCTTTATAAAAAGGTCTGCAGACAAAAAGGGACCATTTCTTCCTGTGTGTTTCTAAGAGACAGAGAGAATAAAAACCTTTACCTGAAGGTTCACAGCCAGATTTCCCTCACATTTCAGTGGCAGAATTACCACTTATCCATGCTTAAAGCAGTCACAGCAAAAGACTATTTGGGACCTAAACCCTATGAATGGGGTAGAGTCAATAAAGCATTGGAATGCACAGGAAAAGATAGATAATCTTTAAGAAAATGTGGATTCTTTTAGGAAGAGCTACTTGGGAAAGAAAAGATGTTAGATAGACAACCATCAGTATTCTAGGGTTTTAAATTAGGACTAAAAGGACTCTTTAGAAGAAGGGGAATTTTCACCTTCCTCCATAGACTTAGATGGACAGAGGGGGTAGAGGAAATTTTTAAAAGTAGGTGTAAGTTTGTAATTAGGGAATTTGCATGCCTTGGGAATTCTGGTATCTGGGGATCTATATCATTATTTTAAGGAAAACATAAAGCATAAATAGAGGTGATGCATCTGCTGGGCATGGTGGCACACACCTGTAATCGAGCACTCAAGAGGCTGATGCAGGAGGATCACTTTGAGTTTGAGGCCAGCCTGGGCTACATAGTGAGTTCAAGGCCAGCCTGAACTGCATAGCAAGACCCTGTCTCAAGAAACCAAAGCAAATGAAGCCAAAACAAAAAGTGATGCATCACTTTTTCTTGGAAGAAGGAGCTGAAGTAGGAGACACCTTGTTTTTATAATGGAAATAATTTAGGTGCATTTTGGAGTAAAATATAATTCAAATTTTTAAGGGAAAGAAATTTCTTTTAAGAAATATTTCATGTTTATTGAAGACCATTTCCCCTGCTATAAGAGGTACTTTGCCGGGGTAGTTTATGTTGTACTTACATGTTAGAAAGACTACAAACTTTGGGGTTGGGTAGGAGATTTTTAACTTCTTGGTTTGCTGGCTGTGTGGCTTTAAGAAATTTACTTAATTACACTGAACTTATGACCTCCTTTTTTTTCTAGTTAAGGTCTTTGTGACCTACTCAAGGTAGCTCAAGCAAAGGAGAATTGTTGTGAGGATATAGTAGATGTCTTAGCCACTTTCTCCTCACTGAGACACAACATTCAGGACCCAGAAATTACAGGAGAGGTTTATTTTGACTCATGTTTCAGTCCATAGTCAGGAGATTCTAAGGCAGGAAGGGCACAGTGCAAAGGCCTGCCGAAGGAAAGCTTGTCACGTCATGGTGCCGGGAAACAAAGAGAAGGGAAGAGCTGAGGAAGGAGATGCACCCTTGCAGGTCACACCCCAGTCACCTGCCTCTAGCCAGGCCCTAACTGCTAATAGCAAGTCAACTGAGGAGCTCCCATAATCCAATCACCTTTCACAGACCCTGTCTTGAGTACATGAGGCTTTGGGAGGACATTGCAGATTCAAACCACGATAGTGCAGTTTCCAAGGGTGGGAACGGCAGTGCATACCGGCCTGCTGGAACCTGGCACTGTGAAGCCATCAGGACTTAGCTTGCTGTTCTGCTTTTCAAAGGCTGTGTGTCAAGGAATTCCTACTTTTTTCCCAGCTGTTGTTCTGCTTTTCAAAGGCTGTGTGTCAGGAATTGCTGCTTAATTTTTTCCCAGCTGTTGTTCTGCTTTTCAAAGGCTGTGTGTCAAGGTATTGCTGCTTAATTTTTTCCCAGCTGTTGTTCTGCTTTTCAAAGGCTGTGTGTCAGGGTATTGCTGCTTAATTTTTTCCCAGCTGTTGTTCTTTGTACTTGTTTGGTCTGGAATTTAACTGCTGGCCTGTGTTTGTCCCAGCCCTGTGTTTATATCTATATCGTGACATCATCTTTCTTTGTCTTATTTCAAATTTGTGAGAATTATCCTATTATATCTATTCTGACTAGGCTACCTACAGCATAGGTTGCAATCCAGCCTGTGCTCTTATCAGATGTGTACTCCTATGACCTGATAAGCTGGGCTAGGAGTAGGATCTCAAGTACAGATCCTGGCTTGAGATGTACAGTACCACATAAGCTCTTAGTCACAATATGTGCATTTAAATACAAACATTTGGTCATCAAATACTGTATTTTTATTTTTTAGGACTAGATAACATTGAAATTAACTGCTAAATTACTTTTTTTAATAGTGAAGAAGTTGCCTTTTACAATGGGAATAAAAGAGAAAAGCAGACAATCCACTCAGTCTTCCGAAAACTGGTAAGATAACAAGGTTCATGCATTTATGGAAAGACTTTCTTGGCCTGTGCCAAGATATATATCTCTGTATCTATATAATTATGTGTATATACATAGTTTGAGTATATTTATTTTAAATAGCTATCAAGAATTTTATATTGTAGTTTTAATTAAAATGACTTTTAAAACTGTCGTAAATATATTAAAATTTCCACTTATAAATGGATAGATTAAAATAAGTAAATCTGTATTTTTATAGTAGTTCCTTAAAGAAGTTTAGTGATAGATTTAGTGATTCTATTGTAGTTTGTCCCTATAGCCATCATGAAAATATGGTAAAGATTATTAGGTAGAGTGCAAGTGTAGTGTGTATGTATTTTAGGCTTTTCAGTTCGTACAGTTGCCGTTGCAACATTCAGCTCAGCTACTGAAATGTAGCTATATATAGTATGATGGGTGTGGCTGTGTCCCAGTGAAGCTATTTACACAAACGAATGACAATGCCAGATCAGAATTATTTGACTTAGTTTTCTCACCTTTGATTTAGAATAAAAAACTTCTTTCTATACTGTACTTCATTTTTAATTTACTTACCACTTGGAAAATTTGAATTCAGGTAATTTTATCCATTATTCATTCAAAAGATACTGAGCTGCCATGTAGGGTGCTTGATGGCTGCCACCGTTGAATGCTAACGATAATTTGGTGATGAACATAATAATGGGTAAAAGTCCTGCCTTTAAGGAGCTAGTATTGAAATGAAAGTTTGTGAAATTGCATGTATATTTTAGGTTATTTAGAAAAGTTGCAGGAGCTGTCATTTTAAATTCCTTCCGAATTGAATTTTTGCCTATATGACTGATTGTGCGTGTCTGTGTATCTGTGTGTGTGCGCATGCTCCCTGACAAAATGCATTTAAGGCAAGTTTCTGGGGAATGTTATTTACCAGCTTTCTTTTTACATGGGTTGGTTACTCTAATTCTTTAGATTTTCAGCCCAAATATTAATACTTCATGAGGCTTTACCATCTCTAACCATCCTATTTGAAATAGCCTATGACAGTTGCTTCCTATTTTTATCATCTGTTTCCTTAAAAGCATATAGTTGCAGTTTATAATTACCTTGTTTGTTTGCTAGTTATTCTCTTGTGTTGGAATGTAAACTCTATGAGCTCAGGGTTTGTCCTCGTATTCCGTAAATAAATATTCCAACCATTGTTCTTGTTGCAGAAGATTCTAAGGAGTTGCCCTGTTCTCAGTAAGCCTGAGTTTTTCTGGAGAGATGGCTGATTACAGCTGGATGTTCTATATAATTTCAGATAGTAATAAATTCTGTGACCAAGAGTGAGGGAGGATAAATATGATGACGACTCTTTCTTAGCTGGTTTAACTAGCATGACCTCTTCTTGAGGAGATGACATTTAAACAGAAACCCACATGAAGTAAGGGAGTTGGTCTTAAATGGGAATATCCAGGGAGAAAGCGTTGCTAACAGAAGGAAAAGAAGAGGAAAGCCTTAAGACAGGAGTGTGTTTGAGGAATCAGAATTGTGGGGGCTCAGTGAGAAAGAACAAAGTAGAAGCAGATGAGCTTGAAAGTAGAGTTCAGTGCCAGAACACTGCAGCACTTTTAGTAATCTAATTAGATAGGTAATTTGAAAGCACTAAAACTCGAGAATGAAAAACCTTTTTTAGATGTCTAAATTTGAGATAATGCACACTCAGATTGAAGCTACGGACTGAGGCTCTGTGATGCTGATTTACTTTAGGATTCTGTTCAGATTGAGTGTAATGTAATTCTTAGAAGACAGGCCAGGTATCTCTATCAAGCATTGAACACCTCCTCTCTGGATCACTAATGTTTTATTCTGATTAGCTCATCTCTGTATTCCTTTTGCTTTGATGTTTTTAAAAATCAGTTTTGGGATATATGTATCTGGTAGTATTGTAAATACAAGTATTTCACTATTACCTGCAAGGGTGTATAACATTGTTAAAATTGTACAGTTTCTATTCAATTTACGTAAAAATGCTTTCGTGAAATGTTTGGCATCTGCTTTATGAGCAACCTTATGTTCAACAAAGTTTCTTTTACAATATCAGATATCATAGGCATTCACACAATATTGAATAAATGAATCTGTAGTTATATCAGGGTAGATTTTTTATATTCACATATATATAAAGAAAAAATACGTTTTGTTGATTTGTTTGTTTTTGTTTTCTGCCAGGTGGAGCACCTACATAATTTTATTTTGTTTCGGTTTTCTATGGGTTTCATTGATAGCATAATTGCCAAATGTAAGTATGTTTTAAAAAATGGTGTAATGAGATTTGTGGGAAAAGTGATATAATGGTAATATATTAAATCTTAACTTTTGTTTCAGACATTGCCACGGTTGTTGGTTACATAGTTGTCAGTCGTCCTTTCCTAGATTTATCTCATCCAAGACATCTCAGAAGTACACATTCAGAGCTTCTAGAGGTAAAGCAATAGTAACAAAATGCAAACTTAAAAATTTAAAAAGCCTTACTTTTAACTTCAGAAATGTAAGTGAAAACTAATACTTATTTCTATTTAAGGATTACTACCAAAGTGGAAGAATGCTTTTGCGAATGTCTCAAGCTCTAGGTCGAATAGTTTTGGCTGGGCGTGAAATGACTAGATTGGCCGGGTAAGATTAGTAATAACAACTGCAGAGAAAAATGCTTAAAAATATGTTGACCGTAATGATTGTGCTATACTGAGATTAAGATAAGAGGGCAGGATTCCTTACTGTATGAAACTGGTTTTGATAGAAAATTAAGGAATATTTTTTTTTCTGCTGGTGGACATGTCATGTTTCCTGAAGGCAGCTGTTTTGAGCCTTACAGTGGATTAGTGATTCTCAAGTGTCTGTTTTATGGATGCTGGCATTTGATGAGTTTGGAAATAATGTATAATAGCAATCTGTTCTTAATTTCTAGAAATTTAAATTAATGAGTAGGATTTTCTTGACCTTCTTTGTTCCACTCTTCTTAGATTAGATTTTTGATACCAACTTCTTAGCAAAATAAATGAACAGAGAGATGAGGTTGATTTTAGTGACAATATGGAAGGTTAACTTGGGGTTTTTTTTGTGTGTTTTTGAGACAGGGTCTCCCTATGCAGTTCAGGCTGCCCTTGAGCTCACTTTGTAGCTCAGGCTGGCCTCGAACTTGCAGTGATCCTCCTGCATTAGCCTCCGAAGTGCAGGGTTTACAGGTGTGTGCCACCATGCCCAGCAACTTGGTATCTGTAGGTACATTTATAGATCTAGTAATGTTACCTGGTCGTAACATTGTTTTTAGACTATGAAATAGAATTGAATACTGTCTTAGTTATTTTTCTTGTTGTTGAGACAAAATATCTGACACTCAAAGTTAAAGGGGGAAAGATTTACTTAGCTTATAGTTTGTAGAGGTTTTAGTCTATAATCAGCTGGCTCTAAGGCATGGCAGACACAGGCCTTGCAGAGGAGAAACAGTTTGTGGTGGGCAGAAGGTATCAAAAGAAACAAGGGATGACTACAGCTCTTTTTATCTCTTATTTCCTATCTAGGCTATTTAGGCCAGTTAGCGCTCACACCCTGTCTTGTTTAGCTTTTTCTCGTTGCCGAGACAAAATACCTGATGCCCAGAAGTAAGGAAGAAAAGGTTTATTTAGCTCACAGTTTGTGGAGGTTTCAGTCTGTAATCATCTGGCTCCAAGGCAGGGTGGCAGGGCACAGGGGTAACTCTTCAAGGTGGCGCAAGACAGCAAAAGCATCAAGAGCAAAAAAGAAGGGGGAAGAACAAACCTCTTTTCCTCCCTTATATTGTAAGCAGGGTGCCCCCACCGAGGGGGCATGTAGCACTCACATAATCTCCTCACCTTCCTCCTGCACAGGCTCAGGATGATACAAAGTAAGGACGTGGCCCCTGCCCAGTCACTTAGTTATATCCTTCTACGCTTCTCACACTGACACAGGAAGGATCCTAGGATGCTCTAGGATTCTAGAACATCCTTTTCACCCCAGGATGTAGAATTGCTGAGTTACTTAGTTAAGCTTCTACACTCCTCAAATTGACACAGTGTACAACCATAATACACCCTTAACCGTAATGCCCTTGATCTTAGTATTACAGTTTGAATCAATCCCAGCTTCACACACTAGAGCTAGCCACCTCTAAAAAAGCCCCACCTATGACTGCATGAAGCTTTGGGAGGACATCTAGACACAAGCCATAACCTTCTGCCCCTGCCCCTCCCCACCGAAGACTTACGTACATCTATTTATATAAAAGGCATTTATCTGTCTCTAAGAGTTGCCAAAGTCTTAACTGATTTAGCATTTTTGAAAATGTTGAGTCCAAAGTCTCCTATGAGATTTAGGGCAAACTTTTAGCTGCAAGCCCCTGTATAAATGAAAAGAAAGTTAAACACTTAACATGTAATGGCACAAGAAAAACATTAACATTTTAAAAGGTATAAATAGGGGGATATAAAGGAATGGGGCCAAAACAAGTCCAAAATCTAGCAGGGCAGACATTAAGTCTTGTAGTTTATGTGTAGCATCTGAGGCAGTCTTTGGCAAGATGTGAACTCTAAAGGGCTTGAGTGTCTCTGCCCCTATGGCACTGTGGGTGGTTGTAGCTCTCACGGCTTCTCTTGGGCTGGCTGCTTTCTCTTTGTAGTTTTTCTTAGATGATCTATGTTTTTGGCTTTTTTAAACTTTTGTGGTTTCTAGTGCATCTTCAGCTTCACACTCACAGCTTTACATACTGCCTTCTAAAGGTCACATTGCCTGCCCTCCCATGCAGTCTTTTGAAATCTGGGTGGAAGCCTTTTGACCCCTCATGAGCAGCAGCCAGACTTTTTATTCTCTTGGCTGCGGGGTTGAGTGCCTATGAACTAAATCTTGAGAAACAACTTTTATAGGCCACCACCACTTTGGGACTCTTTTTAAAGCAGACTTTTACTTTTGCAGCTCTGAGGCTGTAAAGGCTGGAATTTTACTGGTTTTTGTGTGTCTTCAGGTTATTTTTCTGTTTTTGTTTTTGTTTTTTTGCTAGTCTTTCTAGAGACCAATTTTGTTTTTTTGTTTTATCTTTATAGGCTGCAACTTTACTGGAGCTTTTTTTAGGGCGGGGAGAGGGCTAGACTCACAATGTTTGAATTATTTTGTTGGGCTCCTTGCTCTTGATTCTCAACATAAATCTGCCTAAAAGTCCCCAACATGCCACTGTCTAAAATAATACTGTCTTCAAATTCTTTTGCAGGATTAGTCTACCGCCCTTAATCTCAGTCTTAGGCAAAATCTCTGGACATGAGCAAAATGCAGACAAACTTTCTGCCAACCCCTAACACACCTCCTTTGGAGTCTTAATAGCCAATGCAGTTCTTCTCAACAGAAACCTCTCAAACCTGGTCTTTACCAGCAGCACTTTTTCAGCCTTCTGGTGTTCTGAGCTCTGACCAGAATCTCCCATCAAGTATAGTCTCAGGCGTTTTAGCTGGCATCTCTAAACCTTTTCTAACTCTTCTCCCCACAAGCCAGCTCTAAAGGTTCTTAAACCACATGGTTAGGTATCATCAGAGCAACAACCCCATTTCTGGTACCAAATTCTGTCTTAGTTACTTATCTTGTTGCTGAGACAAAATATCTAATGCCCAAAGTTAAAGGGGAAAAGATTTATTTAGCTTACAATTTGTAGAAGTTTTACTCTATAATCACCTGGCTCTCAGGCAGGGTGGCATGGCACACACGCATCACAGAGGAGAAAAAGCAACAAGACAGGCAGGCAGACTGTAGCAAAAGCAAAGAGGGAGGACTACAGCTCTTTTTATCCCCTGTATTTTATCTAGGCTATTTAGGGCAGGTAGCACCCACACTCTTAGTAGTCCCCTTGATCTTAGTGTTGTACCATGAGTCATTCCCAGCTTCACACACTCTAGATCTAGCCAGCTCTAAAAAAAGCACCACTTGTGACTGCATAAGGCTTTGGGGAGACGTGTAGACACAAACCATAACAAATGCTGTGTGTTAGTATTTCAAGCTGTAATGCAAAGGGTGGGTATGGTATAAAAACTTCACCATAATTTAAAAATCATAAATTTCTCATTACATGAGGTTATCTGATGACTGAAGAGTTTCCATAGGCCTATGATCCATTGTCTCAGTCACTTTTCCTTGCTGGGACAAAATAGCTGACACCCACAACTTAAAGGAGTTTATTATGGCTCGTAGTTTCAAAAGTTTCAGTCCCTAATTGACAGGCTCAAAGCAGAAATGGCATAGAAGAAGGGCCTGCCAATGAGGAAAGGAGGAGAAATGTTCACATCATGGTAGTCAGGAAGCAGAGCAAGGGAGGAGGAGCTGGGGAGGGACATACGTTCTTTCCAGGGCCTGCCTTCAGTTACCCACCTTCAACCAGGGCCCAGCCCTTAATAACAAGTTAGCTGTGAATGTATCGGTGGTTCAGTCCACTGATGAGTATAGAGCACCCATGATCCAGTCACCTTCCAAAGGCTCCACCTCTGAACACAGGAGGCTTGGGGGGCATTGTAGATCTAAACCATGGCATCCTTTTCACACTTTTTTCCTTTTTTACTTTCCTGCTGTGACAGTTAAAGTCTTCAAGCAAGAAAAAAGTTGTAAATCATGAGAAAGAGTCTTTCTCTTGAGAATGCTGACATTCTTCCTACTCCTTAATAACATTTCTCAGGCCTTTATAGTTCCTGAATGTGGAGTGAATCTGTTCCTTGACAAGGCTTCTTTTTTTAAGCCACTTTTTTTTTTCTAAATCACTTTATTATATGGGGTTGATATATTCAAACTGTACATATTCAATATGTACAACTTAATATGTGGATAAATTTTATACCCATGAAACCATCACTACAGTCAGGACCATAAATCTGTCCATCACATTCCAGGGTTTCCTTTAGGAGGTTTCTGCTTGTTATTTATAAAAAAATCCCATTTTCTTCTGTGGTGCTAAGTACTTTCTCTTTGATCATAATGTCATTTTTATACTCGCTTGTCCTTAGTTTTGATTTCTGTCTATTGCCCTTGTAATTTCCATTGAATAGAAAAAACTCTTATCTTTTCCCCTCTTCAGAGTAAGAGAGCAGGAATACTTTCAACTCTTCCCTGTTTATAGGAAGGCAGCATGTATTTTTGCATACATTTTCTATATTTCTTCCTCAGGTGGAAAGGCCAACTTTACACATGTCTTAAGCAGGAACCTAGGAATTATGCTTTCTGGGTTTGGGAATGTAGTAGCACTCATCTTCTATAGTGTCCATAAAAGTTTTCCTTAAAATTCTAACAGCAAGTAAACAGCTTGTCTGACCAGTTCCTAAAATGTGATTTTTTTTGAAGTGGGGGTTCTTTGAAACTGCTTCTTTTATTGTTATGTTCCTGCTCTCTTTCTGAAACATTAAGAGAACATGTGCATATTCTCGTTAATAGTTTATGTTGAAGTGACTTTTTTTTTTTTTTTTTGGTTCCGGGAGTTGAACTCACAACCTCACGCTTGCCAGGCAGGCACCTTACTGCTGAGCTATATCTCCAGCCTGATGTGACTTCTTATTAAAACCAAATTATAATTTTAGAAACTGCAGTTAGGTTTTATAAAATGAAAGCTTTAATAATGGTATGGAGTTATGTTTACAGTTTTCTTTTCTTAAAATTCTAGTTTTACTGCTCGGATTACAGAATTAATGCAAGTACTGAAGGATTTAAATCAAGGCAAATATGAACGCACAATGGTTTCACAACAGGAAAAGGGTAAATATGAATGCCATAGTTTGAGGTCACAATTTTATGTTTTTGCTGACACAGTATGATACTTTATCAATTATTTTCCATTTAAGGTGTTGAAGAAGTGCAAATCAGCCCCTTGATACCTGGTGCTGGAGAAATCATCAATGCTGATAACATTATACGGTAAGTACAGAGAAAGTTTCTTTAGCATCATTAAGCTTCATTGTGTCCTTTCTCTTTAGGTTTATAATTAGTATTTAATGTAAAATTACCTTTTATTAATAGTGTTCAGATATCGGTGACATAAAATTTTATAAGGTGTAAAGTTTGCTATTTTGATAACATTATAAAATGATCACATTCCAGCTAATCTATCATTTGTACATTGTTATCATTTGTATTGTTATGATGAGAATCTAAGATCTATTTTAGGAAATTTCAAGTACAGAATGCATTAAATGTTGTCCCCATGCTGTATACTAGGTCTCCAGAACTTACTCATGCTGCATCATGGCCAAAATTTATACCCTCTGACCAACATCACCCCCAACTGCCCCTCCCTTAGCCCTGGCGAACTACCATCCTACTCTCTGCTTCTGTGAATTCAACTATTTTGGATTCCATATACATGTAGGATTATACATTGTTCTTCCTTTTATATCTTGCTTATTTTGCTTAGCATACTGTTCTTCAGCCCCCTCCATCTAAAACATGGTAGGATATCCTTTTTAAAGGCTGAATAGTACTCTTATTATATGTATGTTTATTCATACACTATATTTTTATTCTTTTTATCAGCTGGACATTCAGAAAGTTTATTCTTTTTATCAGCTGGACATTCAGAAAGTTTTCATATCTTGGCTTGGTGAATAATACCACAATAATCATGGAAATGCAGATACCTCTTTAAGATACTGATTTTATTTTCTTTGCATAGCTACCTGGAAGTAGGATTGCCTGATACAATTGTTTTATCTTTAATTTTGGGGGTAACTGCCATCCTGTTTTTCATAATGGCTGTATTAACTTACATAATTACTGATAGTGTATAAGGGTTCCCTTATCTCCGTAGGTTGCTAACATTTACCTTTTCTCTCTTTGATAATTATCTTATTCTCCCACCTAGTGTAAGGTAATAATCATTGCCATTTTGATTTGCATTTCTCTAGTGACTGGTGATACTAAGCACCTTTTCATATGCTTGCTGACATTCAAATTTCTTCTTTTACGAAATACCTATTCTACGAAGTATCGTTTACCACTTATCTACTTCTACAAAGTATCAATGGGCATTTGCCATTTTAAGTGTGTTATTTGTAAATTTGCTATTAAACTTTATGAATTCCTTATATATTTTTAAAAATTATTTCTTATTTCTTTCTTCTATAGGTTTGATCATGTTCCTTTAGCAACACCAAATGGAGATATCTTGATCCGAGATCTCAGTTTTGAAGTAAGTTTTATAATGGTCGTGTCAAAGGTTAAATCATTTGGAAAGTGAAAACTGAAAAACTATTGTCTGAATATTTAAGTGTTTTCTATTCTTGACTTAGTGTCTGAATCCACAGAATTGCTTTCAAAAATATATTTTTGAACAACCTAGAAGTTATTGTTTTTAGTTAGCTGCACTTTAAAATTTCAATACTACCACTATGTCAAAAGTATTTTGTTAATGAAGTTCATGTGCAGAAAGAAATGCATTTAATTTGAATTAGAAAATGTATTTAATTTGAATTTCCAGTGTAGAATGAATAATTAAAACATACCAATAGAATTTTAACCTCTTTAAATAAAAAACGCAATTTTATTTTTTATTTTTTATTTTTATGTTTTTTATTTTTGAGGAGTACTGGGAATTGAACTCAGGGCCTCACACTTGCCAGGCAGGCATTGCGCCACTGAGCTAAACCCCCAGCCCCTGGTTTTCTTATTGTTTTGACCATGCAGGAGGATTTATACCTGTTACGGTTTGTCTGTGTGTCCCCCACAAAGTCTCATGCAGCCATGGGGCAGGCTTTTAGAGTTGATTGAGGTGTGAGAGCTACACCCTGTTTATTGGTGTATTACATTTGTTGATTTGTAAACATTGAACCATCCCTGGGGTGGATAGTTTGCATATGTAAGGGAGAGGAAGAGAGTGCTTGAGGCCATTCCTTCCCCATTCCTCGCTGGTGTGTGCTGGTTGCTTTTGCTGTGTTCTGCCGCCATGAGCTGTAGCCCTCTGCCATGTGCCACTCTGCCTTATTATAATCTGCCAAGTACGGACTGAAACCTCTACGAACTGTAAGCGAAATAAACCTTTCCTTCCTTAATTTTGGGCATCAGGTATTTTGTCCCAGCAGCGAGAAAAAAGTAACCAAGACAATACCCATAAAAACAAGAGTACAGACCTTTTCTTACTACCAAATCAGTAGAACAGCAGAGTATCCTGCCAATGGCCACACCACCGTGCGGTCAGTGGCTCAGGCCATGTGACTAGTGTGGTGATCCAGTCTGTTCTCTTCATGAAATGGGAATCTGATAGTCTACATGAAAAAGACAGAAGATGATGAGTGTTTTTGTGTGACTTGTAATACTCTGGAAGATCTCAGAGTTACTGTTTAGGTTATGTAACTGTTGTACTTTTGATGTCCTTTTCTTGTCCCTGAGTTTAGAGGGAAATCTTTCAGCTTCTCCCCATTTAATATGTTTGCTGTTGGTTTGTCATAAATGGCTTTTATCAGATTGAGGTACAGTCCTTCTGTACCTATTTTCTTCAGGGTTTTTAATCATGAATGGGTGTTAGATTGGGTCAAAAGCTTTTGCTGCATCTTTTGATATGATCATGTGGTTTTTGTCCTTGCTTCTGTTTATTGGTGTATTACATTTGTTGATTTGTAAACATTGAACCATCTTTGTATCCCTGGGATGAAACTTACTTGGTCATGATATGATCCTTTTGATGTTTTGTTGCATACTATTTGCCAATATCTTATTGAGGATTTTTGTATCTATGTTCATTAAGAGATTTTCTTATAATTTTCTTTCTTAGTTGGGTCTCTGTCTGGTTTCGGGATCAGAATGATGCTGGTTTCCAGGAATTAGTTTGGAAGTACTCCTTCCCTTTCAGTTTCATTAAAGTGGAGTATTGGTGTTATAACATCCTTGAAAGTCTTGTAGAGTTCAGCAGTCAATCCATTGGTCTTGGGCTTTACTTAGTTTTGTAGGTTTTTATTACTGCTTTAGTTTCATTGCTTATAACTGGATTGTTCAGAATTCTTATTTCTTCTTGGTTCAGTTTTGGTAATTCATATGTGTCTAGGAATCTGTCCATTTCTTGAAGATTTTCTAATATGTTAGAGTACAGTTTTTCATAGTAATTACTAACCTCTGGATTTGGTTGTGACTGTGATTTCACCTTGTTCCTAATTGCATTATTGTGAGTCTTTTCTCTGCTTCTTTTTACTTTGCTTAAGGGGTTATCTATTTTGTTTATTCTTTTGAAGAACGAGCTTTTTATTTGTTGATTCTTTATATTTTTTTAGGCTTGATTTCATTAATTTTTTCATCTCAGTTTCATTAATTTCTTCTCTGATCTTTATGATTTCCCTTTTTTTGTTTTTTGTTTTTTGAGACCCTTCTCGCCATGTAGTTCAGGCAGCCCTGGAGCTCACTGGAGCCCAGGTTGGCCTCAAATTTGCAGTGCTCCTCCTGCCTCATCCTCCTGAGTGTTGGGATTGTAAGCATGTGCCACCATGCCTGGCCACATATGACTTCCCTTCTTAAACTAGGTCTGGGTTGGACTGTTGCTTTTCTCATATCTGGAGGTTCATGAAGAGGTTATTTATTTGCGCTTTCTCTGGTTCTCTAATGTGAGCATTGACTGCAGTAACCTTCCCTCCTAGGACTTGTGTCCTATAGGTTCTGGTGTGTTATATTGGCACTGTCATTTGATTTCAGAAAATGTTTAATCTCTCCCTTTATTTCCTTTGTGATGCGTTGAGTGTTTAAGGATGGTTAAGTTTTCAGGTATAAATTTTCTATGGTTTCTTTTGTGATTGATTTCTAGTTTCAGTACACAATTGTTTGATAGTATATGTATATCTATTTGGGGTGATTCTGATTCTTTGTATTTTTTAAATCAGGCTCTGTAGACTAGTGTGTAGTCTGTTTTGGAGGAAATTCTGTTTGCTTCTGAGAAGATAGAACACTGTAGATATCTGTTAAGTCCATTTGTTTTGGGGTGTGGTTTAGCTCTGATATTTCCTTATTGATTTTTTTGTTCAGTTTATTTGTCTCCTTGTGACAGTGGAGTATTGAGGTCACCCACTGTGACTATGTTGGTATTTTTTTGATCTTTTATGTCCAGCAGTGTTTGTTTTATAAAGTTTGGTGCTTCAGTATTTGGTGCATATGTATTTACAGTTATTATCTCTTCCTGTTCAGTTGTTCTCTTAACTAATGTTAACCTTCTTTGCCTCTTTTGATCAACTTTAGCTTTAAGTTTTCTTTATCTCAGAATAAGACTGCTTGTTTCTGGGTCTTGATGCCTTAGATTTTTTTTGTATCTTTTGATTTTTAGTCTTTGAATTTCTTTTTAGATTACATGAGTTTCCTGAATGGAACAGACTCTTGGAATTTGGTTTTTGGTTCAGTGTACCAACGTGTATCTTTTAATTAGGGAATTGAAGTCATTTACATTGAGAAGTATTACTGAAAAGTATTGATTTATTCCTGTCGTTGTGGTCTTTTTCTGTTGTTGATAACTTCTTTTCTCTTACTTTTTTCTTTTTTTTTTAAGAGAAAAAAATCAATAGAAATGATACAGTTTCAAAACAAGATAATAGGAGATTAACAATGGTTAATATATTGCATACTTTTTAAAAACTACTTGCCTTAATGTATTTACTCTAATTTTTTGGCTTTGTTGGCTTCATTACCACTGTAGGATATTCTGGGTTTTGTTGGTGGTGGTGGTGTTGTTTTTTGCTTTTTTTGTTTCTTTTTAAGTGCTGATTTGGTGTTCCTACATCTCTTAAGGTATTCTTTGTTGTGGAATGTCCTTATTTTTCTTTCTTTCAATTATGAAAGACAGTTTTAAAAGGTAAATCTGGATTTGTAAGTTGTTTGCTTTTGTGGTTTGAAACACTCACTCCAAGTTCTCCTGGCCTTTAAAGTTTGTGTTTAGAAGTCTACTGTAATCCTAGTGGTTTACCTTTATAAGTAATTCTTTGTTTTTCTTTAATAGTTTTTAAGATTCTTAGTGTTGAACATCCAGGATTTTGAGTAAGATGTGTTGTGGGGAGCTTCTTTTTTTCATCATAGTTAGATGGTGTTCTGTAAGCCTTGTTTACCTGTATATTGAAGTCTTTCTTTGTACTTGGAAACATTTTAATGATTTCTGTAAACAGATTCATTTCATTCCATGTGTGCTGTCTTCTAATTTCTCTCTGCTATCAATTAACTTTATCTTCGTCGTCTTAGCATCATCTAATATCTGTTGGATGTTTTTTCTCTTTTTCTGTCATTGTTTTTAAGAATTCATCATGGTTTTCCATTTTTGTCCTCAATTTCAAAAATCTTCACATTGGTCATTTCTGCAATTTATAAATTCTGTACAATTTTTTGTTTCTAGTATTTCTGTCTCACACCTTTCTGTGAAGTCTGTATCTTTGGTAAATTTGTAACTCATGTTTTGAACCATTTTGTTCATCTTTCAAGTTTTTATTTGTTTCTCCCATATCTACTTCGGTCACTTTGTATGTGCTATTGTTTTTTGAGTTATGTCCTATTTAAACTTGCCAAGTTTCTTTACGTTTTCCTAAATCATGGCATTTGCTTTCCTCTCCATTGGTGCCCTTTGAATCTGCTTTAGGAGAGTTGGAAGGTGCCAGGGGCCTTTCATTGCCTTGTTTTCTCGTGTTCCTCTGTGTGTGTATATGTACATGTGTGTGTACATACATATATATATATATATATATATATATATATATATTCATTCTTTCTTTCGCCTGGTGTCAGGGGTTGTAGTCAGATAAGAGTGTGGGAAGATTGGTATTGATATAACAATCTCTTCAGTTAAAATTTGTTTTCCAGTGATGTTCATGGCCTTGTCTGGGGATGTTGTTTACCTCCACAAGCTTTTCAGCTGAATTATGTTGGACCCTTTTACTATGTGATGGGATTTCTGTTGGTTATAGTAGTGTCCACAGAACCAAGCATACCATCAACCATACACATTAAAATTTGTTTTGATAATTTTACCCTTTTTTCAATATTCCTTACAGACTGTATTGTACTGGGATGTTTGAGGTTTGAGGAGTAAAGGGAGGGTAAAAGGAAGAGGATCTGTCAATGGGAAGAGGAAGATAAGAGATATGTCAGTAGGTGAAAAGAAAGAAAGAATCTTGACTCTGTTGGAGTTATTTCATAGCTGGGATAAAAGGCTGGTATAGAAGGGGTTTAGGATAGTAT